GAAATGTAGGGATGAGATGCTTTTTCCTTATAGCCATAAAAGGATGAAGTGTCAGGTATTCTAAGTTTCTGTACATGCTGCTAGGGAAGAAGCAGGAGGAGTGGCTGCGTTATAATACTTTGTGGTGTTTGAGGGCCTGAGTATTTTTATCCTTGAGACACCCTGTGCATCTTGTGCTCAAGTCAAATTCACTACTGTTTCAAACTTGTGTGATTTTTATCAGTTTATTTTCAAATATAAATGCATAGCCTGTTTAAATGTGAAGGCTTTGGTTGTTCTTTAAAAGAGTTTTATACTTTGGATGCCATTCAGCATTTGACTGTGTTCCGAAACTAACGATGAATTTGCCCTATCCATCTTAGCCTCGTAATGGATAGATAGAGCATATTAAGACTTATCACCTCAAAAACCGATCAAAGTCTACTTCCTTTAATATCGACCTTCTTTAAAAGGACCTAAATATAACCAGCTAGCTAAATAATTCAATTTTGGGAGAGAGGGAGGTACTGAGTGCATGTTTATACAACAGACCACAATAACTCCACAGTTTTATGATTTGTTGGAGAAGAAGAAATCCTTCTCACATTTTCTGTTAAAGGAAACGTTACTCTAGGACTAAATGAGCCCAAACCTGTCAGCCATCCAGATGGGCTCTTCACTGACATCAGTGGCCAACACTTGCATGGATCACTGACAAGAACAGCTCAGCTCAAGGAATAGAAACAATGAGCTAATCTGAATAAATGGTCCGTTTTCAGATGTTTCACAATGTTGTGCAGGGTGGATTTTACATTCCCTATTCGACCTGCTCTGTTTGATTATCAAAGATGTTGAAAGGTTGGTAACTCACACAGGGCTTTCAAAGTTAGATGTCCTGCCGTCTTTCCGTTCTTCCCTTAAATAACTCTAAGTTTTGGAAAATGCACATATCAGTGTGCAGATGTGATAAAACACAGGTTCAGTTAATGCAGGTGTTCTCAGGAGTTACGGAGCAGAGTGGCAAGCCCGTATCTCTGCGCCTCATGAAAACACAAGGAATGATGTATGAGGGACCTATGCTGCCATTTGCCCACATATGTCCCAATGGTGCCTGGAGCCAGTCCTGTCCAGAGGGTTTCCCAGCAGGTGAGAAGCCAGGGCACAGCTGCTGTACGACTGCTCAGGTCTCTTCTAGTTTCTAGACCTCCATCACATATTCCGTTCTCATGACATATCTCATGACATATCTACCATGCTAAATAGTGTTTGACAGGTTTTCTGGGTTTTTCATCTGTATTTTAGGTGGGGCAGAAGGAACTCAAGGCTGGAAACCATAGATCCTAACTTCAATTTCTAGATGCAGAATACTGCACTGTGAGAGTGATAAGCTTTCAATGATGGCTCTAAAAGTGGCTATACCTGTATTTCGAAGACACTTTTCCCCAGTTTTTGTATTTTAAGTGCTGTGCGATCAATAGACACCGAGCACACTCCCCTATTATGTGTTTTGCAGTACAGGGGTGTAAGAATTTTAACCTCAGCTCTGCTTCCTCAGGTTTTTTACTGGATTTTTTTTTAATTGTTATTTGTCATTATTAATGCTATTTTACTTAAGAATTTTGATATATTTGTACGGTTGAAATAACCAGAAAAAAAACCAAACCAAACCAAACCAAACAAAAGAAACAAAAACAAACAAACAAACAAACAAACAAAAGAAAAACCACAGAAACTGGAATCTTCTGCCTGTTGATTGAAACGTTTTTCATAGATGTCCTAACATCTCAAATCAGAACACACCAGTTCTGTCTGGTGGGAGAGAGGGCACTAGATAGAGTTGCTATTGAATAACTGGTTTATGTGGTGGAAGTCTCTTACAAATGAGAGTGATGGCTGGACCTTGGTCCAGACAGGTACAAGCATCAAGCCACTATCACTGTTGAAGTGCCTGCATCACAAAAATGTAACTCTAACCCCACTCATCATTCAGCCCCTGACCACTGCCTTTAAGCAGAACCAAACACCTTTTTCACATCTTTAAGCCCATGAACAAGGCTCCTGTCCCGAGCACACAAACGGAAAAGGTTTCAGAAAGGATTTGTACGAGCAGGACAGGGATGTACCGTGGTGGAACCTAACGTGTGTGGAAGGGCTTCCTGAAGCACAGGAGGTGGCAGGGACCCTGCCAGGGGGAAGAGCAGATGTCACTGTGTTGGTAACGACAGCCGCAGCATCCAGGCAAACATGCTCAGGGCGACGGTCCTGCCCTGGCTGGCACAAGCTGTGTGAGCTGGCTGGTCTTTCCCAGCGCCACCAGCTGTGCCCTGTGACGCTCTACATGTGCCCCCCTTTCGGCGTCCTGCGTGTGGGGGGTCGGGTGATAGCGAGCAGAGAGGCAACGTACCCACTTTCAGCTCCTTCCCGAAGACGGTCCTCTCTCCCAGGGCAGAGCAGTTCCAGCGCCCGTTGCGAAACTGGAACTGGCACTCGTTGATGCCCATCTGGGACCCTTCCCCGATGACAATAATAGCATCGGGCCTGCTCTGGCAGATCGCCCGCTGTCGGGGGGCAAGACCCGGGATCTTGTTACAGATGATGCTGGCTCCCAGGGCCACCACAGAGGAAAAACCCCTGCAATGACAAGATACCAGGGGTGACTGAGGGGAGGCTCGTCCCGGAGGCAGGCACAGCACCCCACCGCCCTCCTGCATTGCAGGACCCAGCTTTGGCAGGTGCCCCCGGAAAACACCCGCCTTTCCCCCCGTCGCTTCCCTCTCCCTCTCTGCAGCCAAAGCGGAGATAAGGAGCACGTGGGCTCCTGCCAAAACGAGAC